GGGGGGGGCGTCCGGGAGCCGGGTAGGGGGCGGCGGCCAGCATGCGGCCCCGCAGCGCCCTGCCCCGTCTGCTGCTTCCGCTGCTGCTGCTGCCCGCTGCGGGGCCAGCCCAGTTCCACGGGGAGAAGGGCATCTCCATCCCGGACCACGGCTTCTGCCAGCCCATCTCCATCCCGTTGTGCACGGACATCGCCTACAACCAGACCATCATGCCCAACCTTCTGGGCCATACGAACCAGGAGGACGCGGGACTGGAGGTGCACCAGTTCTACCCATTGGTGAAGGTGCAGTGCTCGCCCGAACTGCGTTTCTTCCTGTGCTCCATGTACGCACCCGTGTGCACTGTGCTGGAGCAGGCCATCCCGCCGTGCCGCTCGATCTGCGAGCGCGCGCGCCAGGGCTGCGAGGCGCTCATGAACAAGTTCGGTTTCCAGTGGCCGGAGCGCCTTCGCTGCGAGCACTTCCCCCGCCACGGCGCGGAGCAGATCTGCGTGGGCCAGAACCACTCGGAGGACGGCGCGCCCGCGTTGCTCACCACCGCGCCGCCGCCGGGCCTGCAGCCGGGTGCGGGGGGCACCCCGGGCGGCCCGGGTGGCGGCGGCTCGCCCCCGCGCTATGCCACGCTGGAGCACCCGTTCCACTGTCCGCGCGTCCTCAAGGTGCCGTCCTATCTCAGCTACAAGTTTCTGGGCGAACGCGACTGCGCGGCTCCGTGCGAGCCGGCGCGGCCCGACGGCTCCATGTTCTTCTCCCAGGAAGAGACGCGCTTTGCGCGACTCTGGGTCCTCACCTGGTCCGTGTTGTGCTGCGCCTCCACCTTTTTCACCGTCACCACGTACCTGGTGGACATGCAGCGCTTCCGCTACCCGGAGCGGCCCATCATCTTTCTGTCAGGCTGCTACACTATGGTGTCGGTGGCCTACATCGCGGGCTTCGTGCTCCAGGAGCGCGTGGTGTGCAACGAGCGCTTCTCCGAGGACGGCTACCGTACGGTGGTGCAGGGCACCAAGAAGGAGGGCTGCACCATCCTCTTCATGATGCTCTACTTCTTCAGCATGGCCAGCTCCATCTGGTGGGTCATCCTGTCGCTCACCTGGTTCCTGGCGGCCGGCATGAAGTGGGGCCACGAGGCCATCGAGGCCAACTCGCAGTACTTCCACCTGGCCGCGTGGGCCGTGCCCGCCGTCAAGACCATCACAATCCTGGCCATGGGCCAGATTGACGGCGACCTGCTGAGCGGCGTGTGCTTCGTGGGCCTCAACAGCCTGGACCCGCTGCGGGGCTTCGTGCTGGCGCCGCTCTTCGTGTACCTGTTCATAGGCACGTCCTTCCTCCTGGCCGGTTTCGTGTCACTCTTCCGCATCCGTACCATCATGAAGCACGACGGCACCAAGACGGAGAAGCTGGAGCGGCTCATGGTGCGCATCGGCGTCTTCTCGGTGCTGTACACGGTGCCCGCCACCATCGTCATCGCCTGCTATTTCTACGAGCAGGCCTTCCGAGAGCACTGGGAGCGCTCGTGGGTGAGCCAGCACTGCAAGAGCCTGGCCATCCCGTGCCCGGCGCACTACACGCCGCGCATGTCACCCGACTTCACCGTCTACATGATCAAATACCTCATGACGCTCATCGTGGGCATCACGTCGGGCTTCTGGATCTGGTCCGGCAAGACGCTGCACTCGTGGAGGAAGTTCTACACCCGTCTCACCAACAGCCGGCACGGCGAGACCACCGTGTGAGCCGGAGCTCCGGCGCCGCGTCCCCAGCCGGGCCGGCACCTCGCGCTCCGCCCCCAGGGAGGGGGGGGGCGCTCCTACAGACTCCTTATTTTATTTTTTTAAATAAAGAACAATCGAAACCATTTCTTTTCTAGGTCGCTTTTTAAAGAGAACTCTGCCCAGCACCCCCACCAGGTTTGTAATTAAAACTGTAAATAGTTTTTGTAAATTTAATTATATATTTTCTATTTAAAAGAAAAAAGGAAAAAAAGGAGGGGGAGCAGTGAGGGGCGCCAGGCCTGAGGAATGGGGAAGAGGGGGAGTTGGGGGGGTTCTCCTTTCTTCAGTCCCCTTTCAAACACCACCCCCTACTTCGGTTCGAGTATTTTGGTGATTTGACAGGGCTGGGCCTGCTGGAAGAGGCTATGAGTAGTTGGGAGTTACATTCAGGTTCTAAAGCCAAATTTGTGAGCCTTCTCACTGACTGCTGGGTCTGTGAAAGCAGTTGGATACTTTTGATCAAGACTTGGGTTCGTTTTGATTTCCCTTTCCCCCTTTCTCACTTGTCCTGTCTCCTTCACTCGATCTTTGGAAACTTCCCAAAGGAGATGAAGACGTGGAAAAAAAAAAAAAACCCGAACCGAAGGGTGGGGAGAGGGCGGAGATCGTGTGAGGAATGGCCTCCACCCCTACCCTCCGGGCCCACCCCCCTGCTGGCAGGAAGATCTTTCTTCTCTGACTCTTCTTTTCAACTCGCTGCCCCGAGCGCTTGGAGGGGGCAGAAAGTGTTTTGCGGTGTGTGTTTTGAAACAACCCAACCTCCCCACCCCACTACATTGAGTACCGATCCTGACTGCCTCCATTTTTAGGGGGAGCATCATCAGCTCGCAGATGCTGGGATTTGGAGATCACCTTGCATCTCTCTCCTTTCCCCTGCTGTCTGCTCCTCACCTGCTCTCCCCCCCACCCCCAACTGACTATCTCCTCTGGCATTCAGGTTAGCAGTTTGTGGGGTGGTTTGTGCGCTGTGTGTGGGGTTTTGTTGTTGTTGGGGTTTTTTGTTTTTGTTTTTCACGTGCCCGCCGTCAAGACCATCACAATCCTGGCCATGGGCCAGATTGACGGCGACCTGCTGAGCGGCGTGTGCTTCGTGGGCCTCAACAGCCTGGACCCGCTGCGGGGCTTCGTGCTGGCGCCGCTCTTCGTGTACCTGTTCATAGGCACGTCCTTCCTCCTGGCCGGTTTCGTGTCACTCTTCCGCATCCGTACCATCATGAAGCACGACGGCACCAAGACGGAGAAGCTGGAGCGGCTCATGGTGCGCATCGGCGTCTTCTCGGTGCTGTACACGGTGCCCGCCACCATCGTCATCGCCTGCTATTTCTACGAGCAGGCCTTCCGAGAGCACTGGGAGCGCTCGTGGGTGAGCCAGCACTGCAAGAGCCTGGCCATCCCGTGCCCGGCGCACTACACGCCGCGCATGTCACCCGACTTCACCGTCTACATGATCAAATACCTCATGACGCTCATCGTGGGCATCACGTCGGGCTTCTGGATCTGGTCCGGCAAGACGCTGCACTCGTGGAGGAAGTTCTACACCCGTCTCACCAACAGCCGGCACGGCGAGACCACCGTGTGAGCCGGAGCTCCGGCGCCGCGTCCCCAGCCGGGCCGGCACCTCGCGCTCCGCCCCCAGGGAGGGGGGGGGCGCTCCTACAGACTCCTTATTTTATTTTTTTAAATAAAGAACAATCGAAACCATTTCTTTTCTAGGTCGCTTTTTAAAGAGAACTCTGCCCAGCACCCCCACCAGGTTTGTAATTAAAACTGTAAATAGTTTTTGTAAATTTAATTATATATTTTCTATTTAAAAGAAAAAAGGAAAAAAAGGAGGGGGAGCAGTGAGGGGCGCCAGGCCTGAGGAATGGGGAAGAGGGGGAGTTGGGGGGGTTCTCCTTTCTTCAGTCCCCTTTCAAACACCACCCCCTACTTCGGTTCGAGTATTTTGGTGATTTGACAGGGCTGGGCCTGCTGGAAGAGGCTATGAGTAGTTGGGAGTTACATTCAGGTTCTAAAGCCAAATTTGTGAGCCTTCTCACTGACTGCTGGGTCTGTGAAAGCAGTTGGATACTTTTGATCAAGACTTGGGTTCGTTTTGATTTCCCTTTCCCCCTTTCTCACTTGTCCTGTCTCCTTCACTCGATCTTTGGAAACTTCCCAAAGGAGATGAAGACGTGGAAAAAAAAAAAAAACCCGAACCGAAGGGTGGGGAGAGGGCGGAGATCGTGTGAGGAATGGCCTCCACCCCTACCCTCCGGGCCCACCCCCCTGCTGGCAGGAAGATCTTTCTTCTCTGACTCTTCTTTTCAACTCGCTGCCCCGAGCGCTTGGAGGGGGCAGAAAGTGTTTTGCGGTGTGTGTTTTGAAACAACCCAACCTCCCCACCCCACTACATTGAGTACCGATCCTGACTGCCTCCATTTTTAGGGGGAGCATCATCAGCTCGCAGATGCTGGGATTTGGAGATCACCTTGCATCTCTCTCCTTTCCCCTGCTGTCTGCTCCTCACCTGCTCTCCCCCCCACCCCCAACTGACTATCTCCTCTGGCATTCAGGTTAGCAGTTTGTGGGGTGGTTTGTGCGCTGTGTGTGGGGTTTTGTTGTTGTTGGGGTTTTTTGTTTTTGTTTTTCAAAAGGCAATAAAATGGGTTGGGTTGGAGGGAGGGAATGGATGGATGGGCTGGTGGGATTTTTAGTTTTCCTTTGACAAAAGACTGGTTTCTTTTCAAACTTGTCCGGAATGGGGAAGGGGGGAAAAAACGTGGGTATCTTTGCTTTGGAAGAAGGCTCTGGGCAGGCTCTTTGTGACTGTGGGGGTGGGGTTGAGTGTTCACATGACATTCTATATCACAAGATTGATAGAATGTTTATAACATGTTTCTTATCTTCCCCCTAACTCCCACAAATAAAAGTCAAGACTTCTCTTAAAGTATCTTTCACGCTGGTATGAGAATTGCAGTTTCCAATACACATCATTTCCCTCAACTATTTGGAGTATTTTAGAATTTTAATTACCATGGATCGATTTGAAGACCAAGGGATGGGGTGAAACAAGTTTGCCCCGTAACTCAACTTTACAGCATCTCCTGTTTCTTGATAATAGTGCAAATTAAAGCTAATAATCATCATAATAAAGTGCATTTAATTATCTTCTAGAGATCTAGCCCTTTAATTGTATTTAACAGGGTTGTAATATTTTATTAGTTTAACCAAACCAAACACCTCCTCCTTCCATCTCCCCCTGACCTAGTTGGTTGGGGGTGGGGTGGAGAAGAGGTTCCCAGCCCCGATCTTGCTTTTTTAGCCAAACCGTGGTAGGGAAAATGGTGCCTTAACACCCTTTGTTAGCAGGCTTTGGGATAAGGGAGAAAGTAAGTTAGAACCCCTACTTGGAAGTGTTTGCCTGTGTTAGTTTATGTTGGGGGAGGGGATCTGGAAATGTTTGGTGGTAATTGAACACGTATGTGGGGCTTTGTTGGGAATTGAATGAGGCCTGGGCATTTCAGCAGAGTCCCCTTCCCCAAAGGTATAACCCTCCCGCAGATGATTTGTACCAGTGGCCAACATTATAAGTTAAAACCAGCCTTTTCTCAAATGATGGTATGTGTGAAGTCCCAACAGGAGATTCCCTCAACTATCAAAGAAGCAGGCCAGGGAGGTGGCACCGCCCTGTAGCTCCATTTGTTGCAAGATTCTAAAGGAACCCAGCAAGGGCTGCAGGAAAGAGTTAAATTACAAACAAATTGTTAACGTCTTTCCTGGAAAGAATGGCCAAAGCTTGCGAAAGGGGGGATGGGGAGGTGGGGGGAGGTTTCCAGTGGCTGGGATGGAGCCCAGTGGGAAGAGGAGTGCTTGTCTCTGCTGAAGATTTGGGAAGAGCCTCCCCTGCCTCTCAGCCCCCAGATCCCAGTCCTGTGTGCTTTGGGTACATTTTGTCAGTGGACCGTCATGCTGATGGCAGGAGGAGATGGTAGACTGGCAACAATACCTTTTTCTTCCCGGAGTGGGGTGGGAGAGAGGGAATTTTGGTAAAGATCCTTCTCAACCCTCCTCCCTCAAAGTCACCAACGGAGGGAAAAAGGGCCTGAGAACACTGAAAAGCTAGGTTCTGTGGCTGGGGAGAGGACAGACAATAAGATAATTTCCTCTCTAGGGAAGGATACGTCTTCTAGATGCCCTTCCCTTCTCTAAAGGGCTGAATTACCTTACAGAAAGTATGGGGAACTTTCTCTCTGGCTGCTCTCATTGCTCTAATGAAACAACTCTTAGACGGAGGGTGTAGAGAATTTAGGGGACAAAGTGCCCTGGAGTGGAGACCCATAAGTGAAACACTTGAGCTCACTGCCACCCCTGGAGAGGGGTCTGTCTCCGCTCCCTTGTTGGGAAAACCCAGTTAAACACATGGGCTTGGAGGTGTACTTTCACAGATTTCTAGGTCGCCCTTTAGATAGGACACGGTTTAGCCCTTGTAAGTGGGTTGGTCCCTCCGTCTGGAAGACAGAGGCTTTGTCTGGTGAAGGGTCAAGGGCCCAATAAGAAAGCCCTTCTGCTGAGGCCCCGAGGCCTGGGGCAGGTGTTAGGCCACAGCTGCTTTCTACCTGCCCTCCCAATCATACCCCCTCCCACAAAGGAGCAGCAGTGCTTGGTCTCTAGGAGCAGGGCATCTCTCCTCCAGACTCCCCTGCCTCATGGATCAGACATTTGCTTTTCCTCCCGCCCCCACCCCAGACGCCCCTCTGGAAGATGCTTCCACTGCTGACAAACTGTCCTTTGAAGTGCCCCAGAAAAGAACACTAAGGTTTTCTAAGACAAAATTCTTCTGGACATCCCCAAAGAGTGAGGATCAGTGGGACCTGGACTTCCAGATCTTTCCAGAAAGCTCTCCAAGAGCGTGTTGGGATCCCTGATCTGGGCTAGATTCTGGAAGTGGGGAGATGCTGTCCCAGGGTGCCGTGGGGCACATGTCTGGGGGAGCAGAGCCCAAGCTCCTGCCATTTCTGAGGCATCATCCCTTTGATAATCCCACTGCTCACTGTAGTAGGGTCCCTTCCTTCTCCAGACATAGTCTCCTCACCTCAAAATGCATCTGAAACTTCTGGGGCCACTGACCCCTCTGAGAACCTGAAATATCTTTGGACATCCTCCTGGGAAAAAGTGGCCAGACCCCGGAACACAATTTTGTATGTAACATTAGGGGGGTTATGCGCTGTCTATCTGCACACCCCTCCCCCACACCATCCCCAAGCTGGTTTTTCAGTCCCTGGTTTAGACATTACCTAGTCTTCATCACTGGGTAGCTCGACTTCTCCATGGGGCAACCTTTACCTTCTCAGACTCCAGTATCCCCCAGCCTGTAATTCCCTCTGCTGTGGAAAGGAGGGTCAGGAGGGAAAACCATCGGACCTACAAAACCAGGAACACCCTCAGACTAGGTTATTCACTAGATCCTGTCTCTCTTGCAGGTATCAAGATGCAGCAGAGTGGAATGAATGTTAATACTTTCATAGTCGAGGGAAAAAAGAAGAAAGAGACAGACCGTGTGTGGGGAGTTACAGGCATTGGCATGACACAGTGCAGCTGTGAGTCTTTGGGGATGTCTAACCTCTGAGCCTCAGTCCTCATCTGTAAAAGGTGATAGTACCTGTCTGCAAGGTTGTTGTGAAGATTAGATCAGATGATGCATGTACAGAACCAACACATAGTAGATGCTCAATAAATTGTAGCACTCTTCCAATTACTTAGGATAAATTCCTAAAAATAGAATCACTGGATCAAAGGATGTACATTTCTTGAGGACTTTTGGACTTCCTGTTATCGGTAGTTTTAACAAAGCAGAATGATTTCCTGTGCTCCTACTTTTTCTCCCTGACTCGGGGTACCAGCTCACAATCTAGAGGATCCCCGGGGTGGTGGTGGGCAGTGTTTTCTCCCTTTCTCTCCTCTGATTAGGACAGAAATGTCTTACCCGCCTGAGTGAGCAGGGCACACACGCAGGCGGGCTCTCTCGCTGGCCGGCTTTGAAGCTGGCTAATTAGGGCTAGGGCTGTCACAGCTGGCTTCCCCTGTGCCTCTCCCTGCCTCTGCGCCAATCCCTCCCCCTGCTCTGCCCCATCCCCAGTCTCATAGCCTGAGAGCGCCTCCCCAGCTGCCTTGCCTTCCACTGCAGGCTTGCGGCTCTTCCCAGCCAGCTGGGAAGGCCCTGGGATTTGAGGCCTGGAAGGGCCAAGGTGAAAGCAGCCGAGAAAGGACAAGATAGGACCTGGGACATGGAACAAGCTCTTAGACCATTGGTTGGGTTTACAGAGGACTGCCTGTAGCCCCGGACCCCTCGTTATTCCTCATGCAGTCTGGAGAGGAGGCGGCCTGGGCTGGGGGCTGAGCCCTGGGCCCTTTGTTTGAAAGCCAAGCTTTCTGAAGGTTCCAGCCTCCCAACCTGGCCCTTATAATTAGCCCCAATCAGAGTGTTTATGTCGGGGCCTCGTGCAGAACTCAGAGCCCCATGATTTCATTCCAAACTTGGAGTGGGGGGAAGAGCGGGG